CTAATTTCCCACTGTGGCAGAACGGCTTATATCAGGAGCAGTGGGATAGAGTGGGGAAGGGAGAGTCAAGGATGGAGCCAACAGAAGGGGCTGAACCCTTGGAGGCTGGAGACTGGTTTGGTTTAGAAAGAAATAGAGCTTAGAGAATGCAACAGGATTGATAACGAGAGACTAGGTGATAAAGAGAAAGAAAAGTAAATGGGAAAGGAGGGAGGGATGGAAAGAGTGGTGGGGGAGCGTTAGTTTCACAATGGCTCCTTCAGGAGTCATATTTGATTTGTGCTGTTTATCTCCTGTGTCCATGGCTGAGTGAACTGCAGATAGACCAGAACGGGATTCCTTGCATCCATTGAACTCTGACTGACAAGGTATCTAGTCTTATATCAGGAGCTTACAGGATGGCTCCATCCTGCGAGCTGGGAATGAGATAATCAAGGATGGATGATATTTAGATGATCACTGTAACAAAATAGGTTACACAGCATAGGGCTAGTTTGAAAATGATCGCTAAATTAATACCCAAAGTTGACTTTACTTTGACAAATGTAAACCTTTTTTTTCAAAGTCCTCAAATGTTAAATGCTGTCCAAACGAGAAGCTGTACAAATAAATTTGCTCCAAATAAAATAGCCTCTCATATATTAAGAAGTAAACTGGATTACACATTTTAACCAGACAATTGACGCTAGATGCTTTTCAATATTCTAATAACTAATTTACAAATCATATGTTCCACCAACACATTTGATGCCAGGAAATGTAGAGGGGTGTAAAAGGAATAGTTTGACAGTCCTGTGCCGGAGGGGACCCTGTTTTTTTTTCTCACGACACTGTGTCTCAGGGGATTTTAATATTTAAGAACCTATTAATGTGTTATACCAGATTAACGGGAATAATATCAGCTAACTGACGATACAAACCATTTTTACCAAGACAAAACACAAGTCTCATAAGAAGCATCTAAATGACCCCTTAGCGAAAAATGCTAACGGTCATTGGCACATAACTCAAGATAAAAGTACCCTTATTACTTATCGTCGCTGCACATACAAGATATCCGATTAAAGCTGAGGTTCCACAGATTATTTAGGTATATAGTATCATCACTGAGTGATCCGAACTCGCGACAGGGGAAGCAAACACAGACATCACAACACGTACCTTTACGGAGCTTCTAGAGAGATCGTCTCACCGTAGCTGTCAATCTGATCAAAATACGTGTTCAATGGCATTAAAACGAGAAAAAACGCGGCTGAATCGGTTAATCCATAGGTTTTTAACGTATCTGTATAACAAAATTATTTCATTTATAATCCATAATTCCATTTTTATGTAAAAGTCGCAGAGCAAAAGTTAGCTGCTAATGGTAGCCACCAGAGTGGCTGCTGCTTCCGGTCTCGGCAATGCGGCAGTCTAACACACACACATTACCAAATAAGGACTATGTGGGAGTTCCCCTCGATTCCAATGGCTCTGACGGTCAGAAAGAGATGTCACATGTCAAAATCCAGCAAGGGGGGCCAGAGATATGAAAAATCCACCCAAATGGCCCCAAAAGAGGGTTTTATTTTAGCTAAATCTGTCTAAAAAGGTCAAATATCACTTGTTTTGCATCAATCTTGATACAGGGTACTTATTATATGTTGTACTTTGGATTCCTAAAGCTGTTAGTCTACTAACCCATCATCCAAGGTTAGTTTTCACTATAAGTACAACATATTTTTTGGACGGACACTATGATTTACAGTTTTTTACCATGTTCAATCTGAATTTTCTTTAAAATAAAAAACATCTATATTGATTATGACTTTTCTACATCCAACTCACAGGTTTATCATTACTTTGAGAAACAAGGTTATTAATTTAACCCTTTTAGAAGGGAAGATATGGTCATTTTTTCTGGGAATGTCATTTTCGAGCCTGAAACCTGAAAAACAGGGTTTAACAGGTTAAGAAATGCTTCTATGGTATTCTCCCCGCTTTGAGTATTTGTGATGATCTAAGCTAACCGTCTCCTGTCTGTCATGACCATTTACAGTGTAAGACTGGTGTTAATCTCCTCATGTTACACTTGGCAAGAAAAACAAATAAGTACATTTCCCAGAAATGTCCAACTATATCTTTAAACACCTACTTGACACATGTCAGAACACAAGATGTATCCAAACTATATGCATGACAAGGTCAAAATCTTTGAATATCATCAAATCAACATCACTGTCATTGCTGCAGATTATCGGTTTGAGGGGATTAGAAAGTCGGCAATATGTATAAATACCAGTAATATGTTGGAATATGTGAATGCACTACCCTTAAGCCCACAGGCTGTCTGGCAGAGTGACTTCATCCTGTAAGACCCACAGCTGTCTCTGAGCTCAGAAAAAGCTCTGAAATGGACGTAGCTTGCCTAAGAACCTAGAATAGATGCTACTCTATTATTAAAATCATGATAAGGTGTAGTTGGAAATGTTAAGAGGTGTGGGTGTGTGTGTGTGTGTGTGTCCCACTGGTTGGTCTCGCTGACTCACTGTGTACCACTCAGCAGTCAGATCACGTCACACCCGTTAATAAAGCAACATGATGATGCAATCTCTCTTTCCGCTGCACTAAAGACATTGCCCACCCCTCCTCTTCTTTTCTCTCCCTCTGTCTTTCTCTGCATTTCTTTAAGTTGCTCTATCCATTTATAGTAGTATTCAATTAAATTCACTTTTCATCTGTGTAAGTGGACCTGACTGCTGGTTTATATTTGTGTGTTAGAGTTTGGCCAGTTGCCAGAGCCAGGGAGCTTGTACAGGTTTGTGATTCATCTGTTGCTAACTGGGGCCAACACCCATCCCACCACACAGTGCTTACAGTGAGGAACGACGAGCACTGCACTTTTCGTTTTTGCTTTCACCGCTACCTAATTTCTTTGTCTCAGTGGAGATCTGTAGTTACACTGTTGAGGATTACCCGGCCCTCCCGTCTGTTTTACTGAGAGTAGGGACTCGGCTGAAAGCTGCCTTCTCTCCCGCCGCAGTCTGCTATTTCTGATTCTGTCACAGATGTCTCCTTTTTTTTCTTTCTCACTTTCTCTCTGCATACATCAAATACTATATTTAACCTCCAGATAAAAGCAGAAGGGGGCAAAGTATAAAAGATGGAAAGCTTTTCAGACCACCCTTATCTCCCTCTGTGTATTGTACACCACCACGAGAGACCTTGTCTGTGCCAGGGATTTAATGTAATGCATTAATCGCAGTAGCCCTCTCCCTGTCTCCCTACACTCTCGGCCATTTGCTCACTCTAACCCTCTTTGCTCACTCACAGATTGGATTTAGTAAGAACAATGGAGTGCAGTCTTTTTACGTAGTTGGTCTTGTAAGCCTTTTGTGTGTGTTAGGGCTTGCTGTTACAGTAGCTTATGCTTGAGGCAAAGGAAAGATATTTCTAAAGAATGTAGGTGATTCTATGTGGTAATATAGCAAAGGGAAGGGGTGGGTGAGGCATTGGGGACTGGCACATAGGGGGCCGGTAGCTGACAGTGGGCACTCCAGTCCCAGTAATTGAATAATAAGATTCCTTAGATGCAGATAAAAGGTTTATAGGTAATTACTGCAGTCTAAATGTTCCCTCCCTCCAGCGTTTTTTAAGCTCAGGGATGCAGCACTCTACATCAATATATGTCTGTCAATGCCCTGTAAATGGCCATTACTCTTTACCTGGATCTAATTTGAAGTATAGACTAATGGACCAAACTAAATATTCCTAAGTATGCCTCATGTGGAGACATTAAAGTGCACACTTTACAGTCCTCTAAAATATTAATTTTTAGACAGCTGCGCACATAGCTAGCTTTAACATATGTTCAAGATTAGTTAAGTATACAGTTCGCCGATTATCTAATATATTTGCTCATCCAAGCCATTTATGCCATTACATGTTAGATGTGTCAAGTGGTGTTTGTCCTATGATTAAATGCATCATTATTGACATCTAGAGTGTGAGTGGTTTTCTACTGAAGTGTGTTTTGTCATTTAAGGCTTACACGACATCTTGATTATTGACATGAAGGGAGGGTGATCTTTTCTCTCTTTATAGTTGTGGCACACATTTGAGGAACAGTTTTTGAAGTGTTAACCCTGCTGCATGTTAACTTTATCCTGCTGACATTTTCAACACAATCATTTTTTTATAAACACTTTTTTAAAATTGTTAAAACTACTAAGATGCTATGCTATGACATACTATATTATGCTACTATACTATACCTTACTATACTATACTACAATATTCACAGTCTCAATGAACAGTGTAATAAAAGTACTGAGTGTGTATATATATATACACACACACATAATAGCTATTGTCATTATATTATTGTATCAATGGCCAATTATTACCCATTAAGTATGCATGAATTTAATGTTAACCTAAATGTGAAGCTAACCTTATATGCTTCACAAGCTGTATTTTTGTGGTTGTTTTATCTATGACAAGGCATCATATTTTCTAAAGTGATTATATGTTTCTTATGTAATATCCTAAATGTAACCAACAACAAAAATTACAAAAGCAAATGTCAAGCTCCTCAAACCTGTACTCAAACACAGTGTTAGGGTTACTCAGTTACTTTGTGTCAAAGGGTATTTCCTGGAACCTACACCAACCAATAAAGAGCTTACAAAAGATTCCAATATCCCACCTTTATGTTTTTCCTATCTAATAAATTATCTCAAAGACTCACAGGCCTTTGCCATTACAACTATGGTTAATCCCTCAGTGTTGTATTGCAAGGATGTAATAGGACCTTAACGCTTGTAATGCTTGTGCTGCTGCCCCCCTCAGTCCATTTTGCACATTTTATTAAGAAGAAACACTCGGATCTCTGCAAAGAAAAACTAAAATGTTTTCAAATGCAGCGACACACTCACCAGGATAACATCTCTACATCCTGCTGGATAGTTCCTTGTTTTATATTTTGAAAAGCAATGTTTGTTTGTTCATATGCTGTTTGCTATGCAGGTGTGTCACCTAGAGCCATTTATGTGTGTAGTAGCGAAAGGCATGCACCGTTACGTGTGTGCAATGGTATGTAGGAGGGATAGTGTGTGTATGTGGGCACGAGATGAGAATGATAATGGCCGATGATTCAGTTCCACGAGGAAGGACGGAAAGAGAAACAGGAAGGTGGAGAAAATGCATGAGAGGGGGGAGATGTGAGCTAGGATGCTAGAGGCGTCACTCAAAAGCTTCAGGGTTTTAATGTCTGCGCTAGAGAGTGATAAGGACGAGGACGCAGGTGGAGCAGGAGAGAGAGCAGGCAAATAAGATGGGGCGATAGAGACGGAGTGAAAGAAAGAGGCTGGTCGGGCAGAAAATGTTGTCGTCGGCTCCTGAATAGAAAGAGGAGAGTACTGTATATTTAACACCATCTCTGGACCCAGATGGAGAAGAGAAGAGCGAGGGAGGGAGGGAGAGATGGAGACAGACGGAGGGTGGTAGAGAGAGAAAGATTGGTATCACATGAGAGCAAGGTAGGACTAACGGCACTGAAAGCACTGATAGGGGCGCCAGAGGCAAGGAGGGAGCAATCGAGAGAGGATGAATAGAGTGGTGTGCTGAATAACAGTGGAAGAACAGAAGGAACAAAACATCAGGAAAAAGAAGAAGACACTGGACTGAACATGGAAAAGTGAACGTGAAGGAAATAACTCGGATAGTTGAAAACCGAAAGAAGGTGTTTTTCTTCGTAAAAGGAGCTGTAGGTGTCTAGGTGTGTGAGCTTCGGCGTGAATTATAGAGATGGACACATAACACCTGTTATTCCTGAATGAAGGGGTGTAACAGTTTTCAGCTGGTTCTGTTGCACTGTCTCTGCAGCATTTTGTCTACCTGCACGGAGTTTGACCTTCCTTAGTCAGCAGGCAGAGTGAGACTGCAGAGAGAAAAAGAGCGAGTAAGAAAGAGAGGTGGAGAGAGGGAGTGTCTACAGAAAAACAGAGTGTGTTAAAGTGGAGTAGTAGCCGAGGGAGTTGTTGCATTTTGATTAGTGTGCCTGTGCAGCCTGCACTGTCCTCCCGACGTAAGACGGTTTAGTTCTGCCTGGGACTCTATGGAGATACAGACCCCGTTTACCCTCAAACAGCAACCATCTCTGAAGCCCCCGGTCCCACCCAGACTGGACTGAAGTGATTTCCATCTCCTCGACTAGGCCCTGGCTCTTTCTAAAATGTCTCTTTGAATTTTTAATCACACCTCCAACTGTAGTGTTTTTGAATCCTCTGGAACAATGGATACGTCAGGCAACCACCAAGGGTGCCCTGCACGTGCTACCGGTGTAGGAGACTCAAGGTTGGGGGAGGCTAGGATGGGAGAGGGGATAAGAATGGGGGAAAGAGAGACCCCACTTAGGCTGTCACCTTTCCGTATGCTACGAATGCTGGACTCATGCCGTCCTCCTGGAAGCCGTATTGGTGAGTCTCTTCACTGTCATCCTCATTATCAACTTCCTTACATCACATTTGGTTCCCTCCATACTGATGACAGAGGCATTTTTATAACTCTATGAGTTTTATAGATTATTTTCAGAGGTAACATTTTATAATAAATTATATTGTACATAACTCCTCACCTATGAGACATTATAAAGGCCCATTATAGTTGTATTGTTATGGCTTTAACACATATACCGATTCCAGACTGGGACATTACATTAAGATCAAACACATGTCCTGAGGATTTATTAGATACAAAGACATGGGTTTATGTAAAGTAGATTTCTCTCAGAATCTGCTGATCCTACAACTTTGAAAATGTTATTAATAATAATGTATTCATTTCTAAACATAATTTCCTTTATGTTGCTGGTCTAAAGAATTGAGATGCAGTGGGTGGCCCTGGGCAGTGTCTGTTTGGATCTTGAGGGAACACGCTGACTGCAAGAACATCGTTTGAATTTTGTATCTATTTGCTTGTCAGCACAATGGCTGTGGTATCTCTATTCTTGCTGCTCATGCCAAAATCGGAGCGTATGGTGTCTTTTATTCAAAAACTGTTATGACAACCTCTGGCCTAAGAGCAAAAAGAAGAAGTTAAATGTTCAGTTCAAAGCTCAGTGTGGGTAATGCATTGGATGTGGACAGTAACTAATACATCTACCAGTACCCTTTTGAAAAAACCCACTGAACTCGATGCCCTGCCGAGGGAGGGTTTCTGACGTAAAAAAAATATTTCCATTGCTCTTTGAAGGCTTCAGCTTACACTTACTTTACTTCCTTCAACATGCTGCTCTTTTCAATTTTCTGAGGCACTGCCAACATGTTCCGGAGATGGGCTTCTAGCTAAGTGGAGTTGGGATAGTCCTAAAAGCATCCCACTCAATTTTCCAGGCATGCTAGGGAGTCAGCAACCTGACCTCGGCCAGCTGGACTCCACATAGGGAGGCAGTGGTAACTCATGACATTTACTGTCTGCCCCTAGTCTGCTGCTGTGGAAATGGAGCAGAAAGAACCTGCAGGCGAATGGAAAAGAATGCCCTGTGCGATTAGGAAGTACATGCAAGTGTACTTGTTTGTGTTCTTTTAAGAAAAAAGTGTGTTAGGGAAGCTATTTTGAGAGACAGATCCTCATGCTGTAATTACTAGCATTACATTACATTTAGCTGACGCTTTTATCCAAAGCGACTAGCAGAACATTATTGTATAATACTTTTTCAAGGCCAAGGTGAAGGAATTTTCCTCCTCTGTCACTCACCTTGTCTGATTCACCCGCATCTCCTCCACTGTTTACGCAAACAGGCAGGATCAAGACCTCTCTGAAAGTGAGACAGAACTGTCCCATAATGGCAGTACTGGATACTCCCTCCTCGTGAGCATGTGGTCATATGTGTGCGTCTGTCAGTATGTAGATATCCTGGATCAATTTACCTTTACTCCGGTGTTTGTTTCCTAGAGTTTAATGTTTCACCATCAGGGTTGATTCCTGATAGGAATACCTACTTCTCAGTTTTCTTACCAAGCTATTCTGTATGCATATCGTGTATTCTTGTGTCTGGCTTACAAGGCCACAGGCAGTACATCAGACTTGTGTTTAGCTAAGGAGCATATGCTGCTTTCGTCAACAGATAGTTATGGCGATGGACAGGATGTAGGCTGATATAAGCAGATTGGATCTGCACAGGTAGTTCACTGCTTGCAGGCTCAAGAGGCAGGGGACATGTGATTAACCAAACAATAATAAGAGCACTATGACCTTACCACAGTTATTTTGAGTATTTTAAGTGTAATGAAATAAAGTATAATTTGGTAAATGCCATAATAACAGACTTTCGAACATTATACATTTATATTTGTGTTCATTTATTCCTTTTTTTACATTTGTAAGTATTTAATTGTGTCCATGAATCCATACATTTCAGCAATACCAAACATATTAGTAGTTAGTAAATAGAAAGCTGTACAATGCCCAAAAGGGACATCCGTAAACCAGTTTGCCTTTCTCTATTCCGAACCTTGACTACATGAGAGAGACACACTCAAATGACCTAGAATTGGCCTCAGGTGGTGTTGCACCACTCTATAGCTGACAATATGATAAATAGCTCTACCCATTTGGCTCTCTATCGCCCAATCTCACGGATGACATGTCACAATCACTCAAGGGACTTATTTTTCTTCACGCTTATTCCTCTTTTTCTTCTACCCAACACAATCATGCTGCCCTCAATCCCATAATCTTCCTCTATCTGTCACTCTGCCTATGGTGGCTGTTTTAGAATGAAAACGTAAGGTAAGATGTTGGAAGCATTTGGGTTGAGCTTTTACATCTGCGGTTCTTCTCATAAAGCAATTTTCTCTACCGAACATAAGGAAATGCACACACACACACACACACACACACACACACACACACACACACACACACACACACACACACACACACACACACACACAACGACACAACACACACACACCACACACACACACACACACACACTGTATGCACTGTACTTGAGAGTTATCAGGCACCGCACACTGAAACCCAAAGAGAGACCCTTCCCCCACATTCACCCGCACACCATTGATGGAAGTAGTCCTGTCTTGTGCACCGTGACTCATTAATCAGATGAGTCTGGGGCAAATGGAGGTGTGGGGGGTGGCAGGCAAAGACGGGAAAGCTCTCATTGCATGCAGGGTGATATTGATCTCTGACCTCCTCATCTTACAAATGGTATTTTATACACAATCAGCAAACACCCCTGCATGGCTGGTGGTACAATCCATCATCTTAGCATTGGGACCCTGCTATGGCTTTCTCATACCGGTGAATGAGATATTAGAGAAACAAAAGGCTGTGTCCTCTGATGGGTGCATGGAGATGATTGAAGAGGAGATTAGGGCTAAAGAGGCATAGTGCCAAAGCAAAATAGCAGTACCAAAGACTAGTGTTGATAAAAAGACAATAACAATTTCTGACAATAACAGTCTGTTTGTGTCTGTGTGTGTTGTAGGTATCGTCCATGAGAATGTGAAGATGGGATCAGACGGGGAGAGCGACCAGGCCTCTGGGACGTCTTCTGACGAGGTCCAGAGTCCAGTCCGGGTCCGGATGAGGAACAACCACCATCGGCGCATCTCTAATGAGGTAATGGAAGGTTTAAGACCATTTCACACACTACTCTTTGGCTTTGTTCGCAAACATTCAATGTAGCTTCAATTTAATGGCTTCATTGGCGTGAACGTTTCTGAAACATTTACATTTTAAAAGTACATATTGATATTATTTTTGTAATATTGATAAAATACGCCAAAAAATCAGTAATAGTTGCAATAACGCAATATAAAATACAATATATAACATCAAAACTGCCTAAATGTTTGGGTGTTTCACTCATTTATGCATCATCAACTACAAACGATGGGAATTATTTGCAGAGGACAATACAGTGTGTTTGATGCCAATGTATTGGCCAATATTAGGTTACTGCAGATGCAACAGTATTGGTATATACCCCAACTGATTAAATGACATGTATATGGTTTAAGAATATTATATCAAATTCCATAATATTGATGTCAGTATTGCATCAAAAATTCCAGTATAATTTTGGCTATATGTGATGGCAAGAAGCGGAACATTTCAATACTAAATGTTCTTATTCCTTTCCTGTCCGTGCATTGCATCATGGTAGTTAGCTCTAAGTTACTGAATATCCATTTACAATTATTGAGTTTCTACATTTTTCTGTTGTGAAATGTGTGTGAGTCATTAAAAAAAACTATTTCGGGAACCGGACCTGGGTTTTTCGTTATCTTCTTTAACATGCAGTTAGTCACCTCTTCTATACAAGGGCACCTATACTATCTGTGGACAGGTAACATGCTATTTGATGCTTTATTGTGCCACATCCCTGAGTATGTGCCCATGTCCCTGCCCGAGTGTGTTTGTGTGTCTGTTTTAAAGGAGTTGCAGAGCAATGAGTGCAGCAGTATAACGGGAAATGCCTCTGGACACGCAGGCTGCTGCCTCTGACTGCCGAGCACAGTGGAAGGGACTAATTGAGACCATTTTTACCAAAGAGAGAAAAAGAGAGTAGGGGGGGGAAGCAAATGAGAGGAAATGCAAGGGGTGAGAGAGTAATTATGGAAGTAGGAGTAATTATTGGTATGACAAAGAAAGAGGAGATCCAGAGGAACCGGGCTCATGAGATGATAAGATAGAAGAGGGGAGAAGGAGAGATTGGAGGACAAAATAATGGGGGGTGAGAACCAAAAAACAATGTTTCCTCTCAGCCACCCCCTTCCGTTCACCCCTTCCCCCCATCTGCCTTTCTTCCCTCAGGAATCTGTCTATTCCTCTCTTCTCCGCTCATACTCAACCCCTCCTCCTCCTCTCTTTTCTCCTCTCCTCTGAGCATTTGGATGGCACTCTACCACAATGCCAGCCTCTCTCCCTCTCTCCCTCTTTCTCTGTCAGCGTATGTGCAGTCATGTGGCAGGTCAGAGACATGCATCGTGGAAAACGCATGTGTGTGAGTGTATAGAAAGACACGTTTAAGGAGGACAATGAGGGAGCTACTAGAGCTGTTTTGCATTGTGAGTATGGGGACACATGTGTTTTTGTGTGGGATTGTCATTGTCAATTGTTTCCCTTTTGAAATAGAGTATGCATAGTTTACGTTTGTTGTGGTGGAGTCGCTGGCTTTATTATTTGCATGATTATGAAGAGTATTTGTAGAAAGCAGAAGAAAATGTGCATTTTTCTGGAGGTAATAAGATGTATTGTGTTTTCTCACTCTATACGGGGTTGCAGTGCTTGCCTTCCATGTATTTCACTCTTTTGTGATTCAAACATTCAGCGGAGCAGCTTACATGTGAATTACTCAGGGTCAAAGTCCGTAGGTCATTGGTAGTGCATGTGTTCAAGGCTGATTTTTACATAATGATTTTATGAGGTCTGCAGAGCATTGCTTATCATTTTCCATGTGAGTGTATGTCGAAAACTGTGCGGTGTAACCTGGTCCTTTGGGTGATGACTTGTATGTAATACTGCATGTTGGTATGTTAACCAATGAGCTTAAAGCCATGATAGGCGTAAAATCCCTGTGCCTTTCATCTTCAGGCTTACATACACTTCCTACCCTCCCACTAACGCTCACATGTAAACACACATATCATTTCACACACTTACATCCAGGACACATACCGTGGGGCTGCTGGGACTGGGCCAGCCAGCCCCCGCTGCCATGGAAACAACGTGTGATTGGCACCTTTCCAGTGAACATGTCCTACATGGATAACACGTAGGGCCAATGCATTGTGCATCACACAAATTGTATTGAAGCCAATGAAGTGATTTTAGTTGATGTAGAGTGGGTAGTTCAGAGGTATTCATGCTACATGTGTTAAGTAAGTATAATCTGTAATTTTACATACAAAAATGGGGTCCCCCCTGTACTACGCAGAAAATGACTCAAACATTTCAGCAACACTAGGCAGAAGAGAAAAATAAATAAAGCGTGTACACTAAAAATATTTATCATCATCATAAAAAGGTATTTTCAGATTAGTTCCAGATGAATTTGGGAGCTTTAGTTTAGAATGTGCTGATATATTTACAATGAGTCTGAAACTTACCAGGAACTTTCCCAAAAGTAGTGCCATCACATAGTGGCCTTGCAGTGGGCTTTTCTTTAGTTATATTAGACAGCATTTCATTCACACCATCAGTCATCAGTCATACACAACAGCAGATGGCACCTGTAGACCAATATTGAGTAATTGAGCTACAGTCACTTGACAAACTCATTGCCAGGAGTGACAGATGGAGAACACTGTTTTTTTTTTTTACGATGCATAAGCGTAAGCCAAGTTATCAAGGCTTTAAGGAGACTTTTGATGCCAGATCATGGTGATCAATTTAGTCAAAGTCATCAGAGATGGACACAAAATATGTTGTCATAATTTCAGATGAATAGAAGTTGATTAATGATGAGTCTGTTTTAATCAACTGTGACTATGTTGCTTCATTCATTCGATTTTCAATAATTCCGTTTATGTTACAGATCTGGACGATATTCTAAATAAAATATTTACTGAGCTTGAGTATGTATAATTATAAATGGATGGTTGTTTTCAATGTGTAAGTATGGAAGCCCCTCCTTCATACTTGCCATCACGGTCATACGGTTACAGGTATCAATTTAGGGAAAAGCAATGATTGTTGAATTCTGAACCTATTATTTGTGATTTATGTTTCTAACTTATTTTCTTTGTCCCCTCTCCCATCTCTATGTTTCAGGACATCAACAAGCGCTTGTCTCTCCCAGCTGATATCAGGCTACCGGAGGGCTACTTGGAGAAGTTTGCCATGAACAGCCCCCCCTTTGACAAACCCATGAGCCGCAGGCTACGGCGTGCTTCATTGGTAAGTGCTCATTTTGTCTGTGTGTATATTTGCATTTGGGTATACATTTGCAAAGCAGCTGAAACTGACGTCAATCAGCTAATGTGTTGGTTGCTACTTAGCATCTCCATGTGTAGTCTTTGGAGTACTTCATGCTGGTGCTTCTCTTTTACTGCTGCTTTGTTTTGAAACAAAAGTAATGTATTTCAAAGCCATTGTGCCAACTAAAATGGAAGGCCATTATGCCCTCTGACACACTGGAAACTCACAAACATAGATGCATTTCAAACCCTTTTGTTACTTGTTATGCTATATAGCTTCCAATGGCTCAGTAGGCAGTATTATGTATCCAGAACAAGCGCATTATGTGTATGAATCTGGGGGTGGGAGAGAGAGGAGAGGAGGGACTACTGGATAGATAGAAAGGGGGCGGATTGGTAGGAATAGGCAGTTATTCATGAATATGCAGTATGTCAGTTAAAACGCCTTTGTACATCTGCTGTTTGAATTAATTTAATTTAATTTAGTCACATATTCCACATTAGTCTAGACGGGGACGGAAGCATTGTGTTTAATTTTGTCCCTACATCTATCTGGTAGAATTAGATTTTCTTCAAATCGGCACAAACATCCCCTTGAACTGTAGGATTACCTTATTACTAATAAAGGACTGGCTTACCTAAAGCCAGTTGAGTAGCACTTGAAATGTTTGGCTCTATGAAACCTGATGTACTTATATGATTCTGTTTTCTTCAAGGTTGTGTCTTCCTGGTCGAATGTACTTATTGTAAAAGCGTCAGCTAAATGCAATGTAATGTAATGTTATTAGATTTTGGTGATCAAAGGTCAAGTTCACCGTGACCGCACATTCCTCCCATTCTTGTACAAGGGTATGTATCAGGAACACTCTGACGGTATTTCTTTGAATTAGGCTAAACACACCCACCTTACCTTAACTGTTTTTGACCATACATACATATCAAATCAAATCAAGTTTTATTTATATAGCACATTTATAAACGATTTTTGGTCGAGCCAAAGTGCTGTACATATAATAAAAATAGCCTACAGTAGAGACACTTTACAGCAAATACAACAGTACAGATTGTTCAGAATATCAGTATGAGAAAAACGACACCCTCTATCCTTAGATTATAGGATAATACAATGATGTAATGACATTTTGGATAGACATGGATATAAACGTAACATTTATCAGTGGGCGGAGGTATTCCATTGCAAGGCTGATTTTATGTTTCTCTTTTTTTGTTCCAATGCACTCCTCTTACATCCTTTGCCCTTTTTTTTGAATGATCTGCCTTACTGATACAGTTATCTTAAATCATGTTTACCAAAAGCATTGGTATACTGTGGGAAAGCATAAAGCCCCTGTCACACTGTCCCGAAATGTACACCCGATGGACACACGAATATGGAATTGTGAATTTCGCACGAAGATGGCCCTGAACCACACACGAAGGCAACATTTACATTACATTTAAGACATACAACTGCAATGAAAGTACCAAAAACAATTGTGTTACAGTACTATGATACTGTACTGATATCTTCAGACTTTGTTCTTTACTTTATCCGTCGTTATATGTAGAAAATATTACGTTTTCTCCGTAATGTTGTTTCCATAACAACAACAACTTCCTGTCAACTGTCCTTCAAAATAATATATTATATCCTTTTTAGTTTCACAGAACACAAATTGGGTTATTTACATAATATATTTACATGATTTTGTTGTGCAATAAAACAACCCGATGGACACACGATAAAGGAAATGTTCAAATTCGGCTGTGATCGTAGCTACATCGGGCCATTCGTGAGGGCATCTTAAGCCTTCGTATGACCGCCGGTGGAGTTTCTCAGGCTCCGGCAGCAACTTCGTGAGCGGTGGCAAAATCTTTGGCATGCCAAAAAATTGCCGAAGGACCTTGCGAAGGTTAATTTTCGTGTTGAATTCGTGTGTCAATTGTGCCCTTCGTAAGGCCATCGTGAGGGCATCTTGTTATCATCGGTGCCATCGGGCATTCGCCCCGATCAGAGTGAGGGTGAATGCACCGATGATAATACGAAGATGACACGATTTGACAAGATGCCCTCACGAGTGCCTTACGAAGTTGCCGCTCACGAAGTTGCTGCCGGAGCCTGAGAAACTCCACCGGCGGTCATACGATGGCTTAGATGCCCTCACGAATGGCCCGATGTTGCTACGATCACAGCCGAATTTGAACATTTCCTTTATCGTGTGTCCATCGGGTGTCAATTTCGGGACAGTGTGACAGGGCCTTAAAGGATTTGCCCTCCATCAACCACTTCTGCTGTAATTATTGAACAGGGCTGGTACTCTGCCTTTGGCTCTCAGCTTGAAGCAATTTAATGACTCAGCTTTTCTACAGGAGTCTCACAGAGATGAAAGGAAATCATCTTTGAAGAGAGGTTTGCAAGGCAGAAGAGAGGTTTATGTAGCAAGAGTGGACGAGAAAAAAGAGGATAGACTTTCAGGTTATTGTGTCTTTACAATATTAATGAGTGGTGGACATTTTCTAACATGCTTGGGTTTGTCCACTTGTGTGTTGCTGTGTATTTTTATGCATGTGATGTAATAGCTCAATCAATAATTCAGCAGCACTGTCAGACTCATCTGCTGCAGCTCCTCTCCTGACAAGGATTACACACAGGGACACCTTGAAATAAGCCAGAGAACAAGGCATAGGGAGGGAGAAATGCAAGGAGGGATGACTAGAGAATTGTAATGGAACAGTGGCGGTTCTAGACCAATTTGACTGGGGGGGCCACTGGGGGGCCAGTTATTTTCTGAGGGGGGCACAATAAATGCAGGACGAAAAAGAGAACTAGACAGTATGAAGTAATTGCGCATAAGAAAACAATGCAATACAGTTATTGGTATTTGTTTCAGTACACTTATTTATTTCAGATAGATCGTATAGTTATTACTGTTAGCTTCAGCTTAAGTTATAGTGCAATGTTTGCACTAACACCATATTTATATAAAAATAAAGGCAATGAACAGTTACATCTCTACTTTACATAAGGGTGTCTGCACAATCTCACATTACAGAAACAAAATCCTGCGGTTTTTGGCAAACCGAGTACCAGAAAATATACATTTTTTTTAAAAAATTAAAAAAAACTTTTCATTGTTAGGAGGGCCACAGGGGGGTCAGAGGTCAGTGTTAGGGGGGCACTGGCCCCTCATGCCCCCCCCTAGAACCGCCCCTGTAATGGAATAAAGGACAAGATGTGATTTTAAAGTGAGATGCGGTTAAAAATGAGGATGAAGAAATGTGTGAAAAGGAGCTGTAGTTTTAGAGAAGTTAGATGGCAGCTGAGATTACATTTCAAACCAGTGTGTGCTTGGAGTTAGTTTGAATGTATGTGTGTATTCTACAGGACACACTTTGCACTCAGTATTTTACAGACCTAGTTTCGACATGCTCAGCTGGAGACTTGGCCTTAATGAGTTGGCCTCTGCCTCTTACGTCAGTTTAAAAAACCAGTTTGAAACATGCTGGCATGGAAAATAAATGTCTCCCCAAAAGTATTGATTTTATTCTCCCAACAGAACAAGTGTGCCTAAGTGTGTCACAGCAACCCTGAATTACTGCAAGCTTTAGAATAGCAATATGTTTCTCTGCACTTAGATGTTATGGCTTCTGGGTTATCAGTTTAGCTTTCATTTGTTACTGTCACATGACCATGCGTCGGGTGTCCCATTACAGAAGCTCACACTTGAAACCGTGTATTTTGATCTTTGAATCGCTTCCAATGTAATGTGAGTGAAGTTAGTTGGTATCAATTTTCTCTAATGGCTGTTGAAATCAATTATTCACTGCGAACCAATGAGATTCAGTGTTCCATTGTGCTGAGGAAAGAGATGTCATTTTATCTCAAACTACAACACTTAGCTGTGTGCAAAGCTCCCTTTTCTCTGCATCCATTCAACCATGCAGTGGCAAAATACAACAAAGAGTCTCCTATTGATGGTTTTATTCTTTTGTTAAAGCATACCAAGTCTGTGCAGTTAATTGAATATAAATCCCAGTCACGTTTTTGGCTTCTCACAGTTAAATGAACCTTATCGACCACAATATTGACAACAAAAATGCGTGCTTGACTCATGGAAAACTATCTTTTAATGTTGCGGCTGCAGACAGAAAAAAGGAATGTACAGTATTCAGGTGAAGAAAAATATGTTTAAGTCATTTGATAAAAATCTCTGCTCATCAGGAGGAATGTAGCACAACATGAATATAAAAGCAGTGATCTGTGTTAGCGCAGGTTCACTCAGACCTGGTCTATTGCTACTGGCATGTTTAAATGAGAAAGGTGACAGTGCAGGATGTTTATTGGTTGATTGATTGAAACTCTAAGGACTGGCTATATCATGTTAATGAAACGGCTCTCTTCGTCTTTGCACCTCCACTCACCTGCCACCTCTTTTCTTAGCAGTCATATCCCCTCTATCACTAAAAACTAGTCTCAATCCATTCTACTCCCCATCAAACCTGCTCACAAGTATCAGAAGGAGATACCCTATTCAAAATGAAATGGACTTTCTTTTCAATACACATTAAAGCCAAACTGCTCTCTTTAAACACTTGGTACTTCAGCTGTCAGTCCTCTCTGTATGTCTTTTTGACTCTTGTTCAGGCTCAGACAGAACACATCTTGTTTGGTTTTATGTTGCTTTATTTTGTCACAAAAACTTGGTCTGCTGAGTAATCTCAGTGAAGCGTTGGGAATTAAATGAACCCATTGCCATCGAAAGCATACGCAGGCACACACGCACGCACACACGCACACACACACGCACGCACACTCTCAAAAAGGATCATCAGGTACATAGACAGAGAGTGCAGTTGCTGGCTGTAAGCAGAGAGTGGGCAGAAGATAAGGAGCTGTGCCCTCATTTGGTTTAGAGACACTAACATGGAGCAAGGCCACTGATTATTTCTTTGTGTGTGTCACTCAGGGCGTGTGTGTGTTCGTGTGTGTGTTTTTCTCATGTGACTGGTTCCCCTGCCGAAAGAGCAGCACAGCTCAGCAACAGCTCCTTGACAGCCGCTGTCACAAGAGCAGAGATGGGAACAGTGTGTCTGTGTGTGTGTGTGCAGAGGGGAGTGTGTTTACATTTGAGCATAGGCTGCCTGTCTCATAACAAATATTCTCTTGCAAACACACACACAAAAGCGCACACACACAGCATATAAATACAGTGCAGGCCCCTACAAATATTACAAAGTACATAATAATTACACACTACAGTTTGTATTTATATAGTATTTTGGCATTGCAAACTACCAGATACAACACAGATATTGATTCTGAAATTAAATAATGCCAATAATTAATTACGCAAATGTGATTTTGTGCATACCAATACACATACACACTATAACAAGTGTGTCATCTTGTATGTCCCATCTCGTTCTGATGTTGCCTTTTGGGCATGCCTTTAAAGAGATCACATGCTTCATTAGCTAACTTGGTCACTAGAGACCCTCCCCCCCCATACGCATAGACGAGCATCGGCTTGGCATTCATATCAGCATCATTACAGGACGGGCCAGTGCAAGATTGAGAGAGATGGGTGGGTTCAGAGAGATGAGCACAGATAAAACATGGCTGGAACAACCCTGACGGAGATAGACAAATAAGTGGGGGAAAGTGACAGAGAAAGGGATAAACACTGACAGGCGTGTGGGTATCACAGCTTGACATAGCTACATTCATCTATAATTCATGACCCGGTTCTGGGGGCCATATACATTATGCAGCTTAACCTTTATTATCTGAATTCAGGATTAATTAAAAGTTTATCCAACTCACCAATTAGAAGTATGCACGCTGGGTATTTATAGACATGTTTAGATGTAAATATCCCCATGAAGCTATCTGCAGAGCCTCATTTCATTGTCTTTGTTATACTGCATTCCTGCGGCTGAAGAATAGCATTAAAATACTTTTGTTCATGGAAGTTCAAGTTATCATTTAATTTCCCACTATACCACACAGGCTTTCAAATGTGCCTGTATATGTTTGTGCCCAATGCAATGTATATGATTCTGAATGATGTTCCATGAACTGGACCATGTCAGAAGATCTGACCAAATGTACGTTTAGATCATAAGGTGAAATACAGTAGAGAAACAGATGATATATGCAATCACGAAGATATAATCTAGAATTAGAAAAATAAGAGATGCTCAGTTACATACTGTTAATGTTGGATAAGCTAAAGCTTTAGCATAAGCACACCAACTGACAGACACACACAGAATAATAAGATTTGGTGACTCAAACCCTTGCAGTTGTAGGCCAGGTGTCATCAACAATGAAACTGAAATCTGAACTAACAGCCGTGGCCCTCAGGATTTGTTTCTCAAGATAGTTAGACTAAACATAGTGGAGGGGCTTAGCTACCAAAACCACAAAGACTCCTCAATGTCTTGACAATATTGTACATTGATAGAGATATAACTTCCTCAACTGTCTTCTTTCTGTGTTCTCCAGTCTGAAATCGGCTTTGGGAAACTTGAGACCTACATCAAACTGGACAAACTAGGGGAGGTAAGATCAATAAAGAAAATCCTTGAAAGTGACACTAAGTAGATACAAACTCCTCAAAATACTCACACTTGCATGCTTTCTATCTCCGCAGGGGACCTATGCTACAGTGTTTAAGGGGCGAAGCAAGTTAACAGACAACTTAGTAGCTCTGAAGGAGATCCGGCTGGAGCACGAGGAGGGCGCGCCCTGCACGGCTATCCGGGAAGGTACTGACATGTTGTCTAAATCATGCAATTCGGAAGTAAACAACTCACAGGCAAACACAGCACCATGTTGTCAAGAAGCTTGTAAGGTTTTGACAGTGCTATGAACTATGAGCTGCTTCCTCACAGGTTCTCTGTGTTTGACTGACAGTCTCCAATATGTCTCCCCCTTCTAGTGTCTCTACTGAAGGACTTGAAGCACGCCAATATTGTCACTCTCCATGACATCATCCACACTGAGAAGTGCCTGACACTCGTGTTTGAGTACCTGGTGAGTGTCTGTACTGTGCATGTGTGTAGGTTTATTGTGTGTGAGATAGCAAATAATACTAATCTGAATATCTGCACTTATTTAATTCTTTCTTTATCTCCTCTCAGGAAAAAGATCTGAAGCAGTACATGGACGACTGTGGGAGCATAATGAGTGTTCACAATGTCAAGGTAATGCAAAGCAATACACATGTTCACTACTGACATAGACATAGACATACTTTATTGTCATTTCAACAAGACACAGAGTGTACTATTAAAACGAAATTTCGTTGTACTGGCTTACAGGAACAGGACAATATAAAAACTTGCTAAAATTGTACATATAAATAAATAATAGTGACATGGTGCTGATAAAATTAAAGATAAAGTGTGAGGAGACATCTTTAGAGTTGCTCCTGAATGTAATCATATTTTCACTGTTGCAATTGAAAAAAAAAGCGTCCATTTTGTGTTTTATTTTCTTTCAATAGCAGCAAAACATTGGCATGCAGCTTGGCTTCTCAATTATAATGTTGAAAGTTGTTTGATCAGTACATCAAAAGAATGCCACATAATGTAACCTGTTACAATAAATTACTTGGTTAAATGATTATATTTAATGTAATGACAAGTATGTAACAATAACTTATACGAATGTCAACTCCTTTTCAGATATTCCTTTTCCAGCTGTTGCGAGGTCTGGCGTACTGCCACAGAAGAAAGGTCCTCCACAGAGACCTCAAACCCCAGAACCTGCTCATCAATGAGAAAGGAGAGCTCAAACTGGCAGATTTCGGTATATCATCATATGACTTACTAAAAGCACAAGATCAGTCTCATATATTTTCTTTTCGGTTTGACCTGTCATTATATTTTCTATAAAAAATGAATTTACAGGCTTTAAAATGAACTAAACTCATAGGGAACTATTTTTACTTTGTTAAAATACAATTAGCTAGTCATTTACTGAGAGTTTGTAATGTATTTAATGGAAAAAGTCTGAAAAACGCCCCACTAGCGCCCCCTAAAGGATACTGCTCCTAGACCCAACAGGAGTAGAGTACTTTGACTTAACACTCAACATTGCCCTCGGTAGGTGAACATCAAAACATGACATAATAATGTGCATACTCCTGTGTTGCATAATTTTCCAGGAGGTTTCCTGCTGGTATGAGATGTTTTGAGTTGAACTAAAACATACAAATCCTAATGAGGCATATTAACATAAATCAATGTCATTTTCTGTTTGAATTAAGGTTTGGCGAGAGCTAAATCTGTTCCTACGAAGACCTACTCCAATGAAGTTGTGACATTATGGTACCGGCCACCAGATGTGCTTCTGGGCTCCACTGAGTACTCTACACCCATTGATATGTGGTGAGCAAACACAGATTCAAGCAAATACACACACTTTCAGAGAAGAACATAAAACTACCCCTGTTTGTCTGTCCGTTTCTTTCTGTTCTCACATTAAGGGCCTCTGTTTATTCTCTGAGCTTTCCTCAAAAAACAACATTTGTTATTCCATTGTTTCTTTATCTTTTTCCAGGGGTGTGGGCTGCATCTTTTATGAGATGATCACTGGCAGACCTCTCTTCCCTGGATCCACTGTGGAAGATGAGCTACATCTCATATTCCGCATCCTAGGTGAGACAACATCAGCGTAATTCAGATGATCATATGCTTATGTGACATGCATCCTTATTTAGTTTGTTTGTCTGCGTCTGTACAATAATAACTAATGCTCTTTATCTGGAACAGGTACTCCTACAGAAGAGACTTGGACTGGAATCACCACCAGTGAAGAGTTTAAGACGTACAAATTTCCTCGATACAACGCAGAGCCCCTCGTCAACCACGCACCCAGGTGTGTAGGTGTGAATGTAGGCACACACAGCCATGGCTCCACGTGTGTTTAAATGTGTGTCTCAAAACAAGAGCAGGTTTCAGAATTCCAAAACGTACAGGAAAGCCTAGAAAGTATTTGACCGATTTTCCAGGAACTCAAAACACAAGAAAAATCTGAGAAATTAAAATGTCCAGGACAATCTTGTGTTTTTTGCTTTTGTTGTTTTCCTAGCAGAATCAACTGCTAGGATTATTATTATGGCTCCCCAAAACACATACTTTAACTTAACTGTGACATCAAAGGGAAAATAAATCTATAAGGGTTATCTTTCATAGTCGCATTGACTTTAAGTTGTTCAAATTCGTTCTTTGTTGTCTCACTGGTCTACTCTCCCTGCAGAGCTAGGTTATTAGGATAGTAACATAAAGAGGAAACGTTGTTTTAAAAAGACTTGGTTAGACTCAGCAAGCTGAAGCTTCATATAATCTTCACATAACAAACAGGGTTCTTATGGTCATTAAAAACCTGGAAAAGTCATGGAAATTCAAAATGCTAATTCCAGGCCCTGGAAAAATTATGGAAAACAATATTTATATATATTTTTTTTGGAAAAGTCATAGAAATGTAACTAAAGTTGCATCAAATATAATTTATATTTTATCTAATTGCCGAAATAGTAATACTAAAATGATAATAAATACTGTATCGTATAGTAATGAAACGTAAAATGGAATTTTCTGACGAGGTATTTTGCTGATGAGATATTTTAGTTGCTTTAGCCTGTAGAAGCTAGTAAGCCTACTATTTGATTTGTTTTAGACACAACATGTTTCATATGCAGACCTTATTTTCCTGTTCCATGTTAAAATAAACCATTTTCAGTGGTACCGCTGAGAAAGAGTAATTGTTTTGGTCATGGAAAATTAGGTAAAAGTCATTGAAAATCATTGGTGAAAAAGTGTATGAACCCTGATCAAAGACTGTGGATGTTGTACCAGATTACTTTCGAGCAGATCTTTTAATGGTCATTATGGACAGGAGGAATGATTACATCAGGCAAAACTGCAATATTCATATTGGGACCTGCGTATTTTGAACCTTTCCTTTAAGTGACTGATGTGTAAGATGTGATAAGATAAGGATTGATTTTAAGTTGTATCTGTTGTCAAGGGTTTCCTCCTCTGTTGAAATCGCAGGAACCCTCTAAGGCTCTGTATGGCTGAGCTCAGCATTTGACTACAAATGCACTCAAATCCCTCTCCGTCACCTTTCCTTTCTCTCTGACTTTTCCTCTTGCTTTCTTTGACACAGGATAGACAATGATGGTCACGACCTCCTCTCACTGCTTCTTCAGGTAAGAAACATTGCATAAAATGATGAATACTCTTAGTATACGTATGTACTACCATTACATTAGACTACAACACTAATGCACCTCTCTTTATCTCCCTTCTTTGTCTCTGTGTCTCTAGTTTGAGGCTAAGAAGCGGGTATCAGCTGAAGACGCTCTGAAACACTCGTATTTCAAATGTTTTGGGGAGGAGGTTCAAACGCTGTCTGACAGTGAGTACACACAGTCTGACATGTAGAATTTGCACATTTACTGTACAATCCCGTCTCATCAACTCTTTGTTGTTTTCAGTCACATCCATCTTCTCTGTAAAAGGCATTCAGCTTCAGAAGGATCCAGGGAAGAGATCCTCAGTCTTCCCAGAGTCAAGTAAGTTCTCCATGATAGAAACATAGTGGTAAAAGTAAAAAAGAAAAGGTACATTCTCCACGGGAATATGAAAAACAATAGGTGCCTCCTGTCCTCTCCCTTTTCTTTCTCTTTCCTCGGTTTGCTTTATGTCGTCTATCATTTGGTTATTCTTTAAACTTGTATCTACTGCCATCATCTGTTCATAACTGTAATCTCTTCAATGCTTATTCGTACTTAATGGCTAAATACATATACAACCTATGACTATAACTTGTGTTAGTTCTAATTAGCAAATGTTAACATGCTCACAGACAAAAAAACACGAAGTAAGAAGCACACCCAAAAATGTAATTGGTACATTACTACGACAGTTACCCTTATCTAAACCACTGTACATTACATTTGCATGAATGTCTTTTGAAATTTGTTTAGATTTACTTCATGTTTCTGTCTCTGTCAGAGTCTCAGTCTGTGTGTCTCTTTCTTTCTGCTTCCTGCTTCGGCCTCTATGTCATGTTTTGATAAACTGTCCCTTCTCTTTCTTGCTGCCCATGCCCTCTCCTTTCCTAATCCTCAACTACTCCTTAATTATTATTAATAATCTCCCTTGTGTGACCTGCTCCTACTCCTCCGTAACGCCTTAATATTCCCAACCTTCCCCCTTTTCCCTGACCCTAAAAAGCGATGGCCCATAAGCTAGGCTCTGCACCCTCGCAGTACTTCCAGAGAGAAGCAGCCAATCCCAGGGCTCAGAGTCAAAATCTCTCCTCCACTTCCACAGGCTGAGTGGCCCCTACCGTTCCGGTAAATACGGTCTCTTTGAATCTGTCTGTTTTCTGTTCTGTTCCCCTCTGGCTGTTACCTGGCCTCCTTTCTTCTGTCCATTCGCTCTTTGTCCCACTTAATATATGGCTCTCGGGTTGCTAAACTCGGCTCAATGCGGGTACATTTCACTTCCCTCCTTGCATTCCATCAACCAAAACAACACTTGGTGTTGGTACCACTTCAAACTCACATCCCTTTTTAATTTTTAACATTTCTATGTCTCTATTTGTTGTTTATTCCTCTCCCTTTCTCTGTTCTTGCCTCTGCCCACCTGCATCATCTCAGCTTTCACTTACCTAACCCTCTTTTTATCAGAGTGAGCCACTCCCAGCATTTATGTCAGGGATAAAGGGTGACAACATATATACGTTAAAGAAAAATCATGTGATCAGAGAACAGTCCTTTGATTGTTTTCCTTTGCAGTCCTGTTTAGGTTTCTACAGAGACAGATGTAGCCTTTTTGTTGAGTCTGTAAGTGAGGGTTTGGTGAAGTGTGCTTTTGCTTGGTTTGGTTCTAAAAATGAATTTTCTATCAGCATGGATATGGTCTGTTCTTCTAACTGCAGTGTGTTATACTGACTGGTAGGTATGTTTGAGCTTTAGATGCAAAAGATTACACACACAATTACAGATTATAGAACTATATGATCCAATTGGTTGCCAAAGTATTGGCACTGATAACACCACCACTACACTATATGGCCATGCTATATGTGAAGGCTCCCAGTTTGTGCACAAATCCATAATCAGGACAATGTTTTGGACGCACAGAGCCGTGGTTACCTTTATTTATCAAACCTTAAATTAGATGTAGAACAATCTTTGATTATGTGTTTTTGCAGGCATGGAGTGAAATGTGTGGTGGTGTGTTTGTTTTTGTCTAAATGAAATCCGAACCTATTTTAATATATCTCTCTCGCTCCCCGTTCTTTCTCTGTTTCTCTCTCTCTCTCTCAGCCCAGGGGAAGAGCAGGAGGCAGAGTGTGTTGTTTTAGTGCTGGCCGGGGCGCTGAGGTGAGGAGGACAGAGACACGTGGAGCTGTCCTGTCAGACATACGTTCACTGACCCTGCCACACACACACTGAAGGAGCGACACACACCCTGCCACAGAAACACACACACTGAAAAAAATACACACACACATACTTGAAACAAAACCACCCAGAATTTAGGCTGAAGAATTTGTACTTGACAATAAAAATAAATAAAGACTCAGTTAAATTTAAGGATGAGAGAAGCGGGGAAATGCCGTTAGAAAAGTGGGAGAGTACAAGATTCTCCTTGCTGCTACTACCGCTGCTGTCCAGAAGAGGGCAGCGTTTAAGGAGTGGGCTGGCTCGGTTTCTGAACAGAACTTGCTGCATCAGTGAGCCGTGAGGAAGAAGTCTAAGGCGAAGAAAGAGAAGGAACTTTCTTGTGCTCCTTTTCTTTTTTGTTCGGACTGTTGTTGTACATAAATAGACTGAGCTGTAGAACTCTGCTTTTTTCATAACACGCCTCGGCCTGAATCCAAACTCAGAATATTGCACCTGAACCCTAAACCCTCGCCTGACCTCTTGGCCCTTTATTACGCAATCTTTAAAACAACACATAGAAATACACAATCTCTTTCTTTCTCTCATTCTCTAGCTCTCTTGAATAAACACACATAAACACACACACACACACACACAGACACACACACACTTATGATTCACTTGAAAGTTAAGAGTCTGTAGAAAAGTGGAGTTTACAGATAAACTTTAGCACCTTATTGTCCAGTAGAAGTCAGGGTGGCTGTCATTACGTTACCTCATCACTCAAGCAGAGTAGGATGTAAAGTACATGCTAGATTTAGAATGAAGAAGAATCAAATAACAAACCAAAAAAACAACAACAATACTACACTAAAATAAAACACTAAAGACACTCACAAACCAGTCGTCGACAATTATTGCATTTGCTCACATGCTGTAAAGAACACTACGCTGCAAGACACTCCTGTTCTTAGTAGACAAGAAGGAAAACCTTTACGGATAGAGAGGTTTACAAATCCTCAACTGCTTATTCCTAGACACACCCTTTCCTCTTTTGCCTTGACTCAGAAGTTGTCTTGATGTGCTGTGTGATGTACAGGTGTTGATGTTAAAACGTTCTCTTTGCACCTGCTTTTACCTCTTTAGATCATCCCAAACATCTCCCTCTAATCTCTATTTGCATTTATTTTTACTCTTCTTATTTTTCAATCTGTATATATCATACTTTTTACTTGTCAGAAGCAATGATACTTCCAGGATGCTGTTCTCAGTCTTTACTGTGTTCCCACCGGAACAGTGTGTCGACTGGCTGGGGACGTGTTGCACATTCCTTGAGCTCAGGACTTAACGCTAGTGTTGTTTTGTGGATGCTGTGAGGTGCAGCTGGTCTTGTATGTCTCCCCATGTGTGGCAGAGAATGTCAAACATGGCCTAAAACCCTTTTGCAAAGCTGGTTCAGACTATGTGAAGGAGTATTTTCATCCTTTCATTTGTCTGTGTCATACTTAGTTAATTTCACCAAATGATTGCTGTCCAGTGACTACCTTACCCACGTCTGTAGTATACTTGTCATCTTCTTCGAGCATGTTTGTGTATTAAACACTGAGTTGGTATGTGAAATAGCTTCTGCTGGAAAATACCGTCAGTCGGTTTAGTGCATGGGACATGACATTACATGATTATTGTTTTTACATCAAAACACACATTCAACTGTAATGGCTCCTCATTGAGTCTGAAGACTGTTCTCTTTAATAAAACGAAGACAATGACAACACAGTAGTCAGCAACAATGGCATGTGCTGCCGGCATTGGGACCAGATAGTTTGTAGGACAAATTTGCCTCGATCTCAATCTTTGAGCGTTTAATAGGACTTGAAGGACTCAGACACACTGTTGTTTCCCGCTGATAACTTTACAGGCTGCCACAAACTACAGGACCAAGTCAATCCTCCAAGCACCAGGTGTTCAAGCACACAACTGTTTCACACACCAATCAGTTGAAATGTCAACGTGTACTGTATCCTACGAGATGGCTTGTGAGTGTAGATTGGAGTTGCCTGTTCTTCAGGCACTGACCTTGGGTCATTTCTGCATCTTTTTTGAAAATGGATTCAAAAAGGGTGAATTGATCCCATGTCTTTGCCTGTAAGAAGGACTACCTATTAACCCAGAGTGTGACAGTATGTAGCATGTACATAGTTGATCCCTTGCTCTGTATATATATATAAAAGTGTACAGGTTTGAAACAGCTGTTCACACTCTGGCTTTTTTTTTGCTTTTCCTTTATGAAAGTCATAGCAATATTTCTGTAATCAATAAAAAGCCAAGGTAATAGGAAGAGTGTGATTGCATTTGTGTTATTTTAGCGAAGGAGAAATGACTGTGAATGATCAAACTGTGAGACTTGACTTGAGGGTTTTTTTTCTTGCTGTTTAACATGCTGGATCCAAAAGGCTGGACTGAAGTATCATGTTGCAAAGGAGTATAACACACTGTTTGTTTTTATTTTAATCAATGAAAGCCATAAAGGTGACAATGGTCTGTGTATGAGGGGTGTGAACCATGTTTGAGCACAGACCAAAGCTGGATGACGTGTACACCTAATAAATAAAATAATGTAATTACCTTTTTTTTCCTTGTCATAAATATTTTTAAAATATATTGCCATCTTTTTTGTTGGATTACATCATAACCTACAATTACATTTACAGGGCTTTGGCAGTTTGCTGCAAATCTGTATTTAAAGAATTATTAATCCGGCTTCTCAGTCTTGCAGTACCAATTAAGCAAATGCTTACTAAGATGTGTAAAATGTAATTCAGTCACTCACTTAAATGCGGCCTTTAAGTCTTTGCTGGCACTATAGGTTTTAAACAACATCTATAAGAAGGAAATTGTGCTTATTATTAATTTTAGCAAGCCATGTATGTTGTTTCAGCTGTACACACATACAAGGTTGTAGATGTAGCGACTTCCGGAAACAAAGTCGCTGAGGTCGGGCCTGGTTGCATATATCTGACGCGCTTCCAAATTAATTGCTGACATAAAAAATGCTGTGAAAATGTAATTTAGTGAAAAATGAGATGATCAATTTAGCACAATGTGAACAAAAAATCGAAACAATTGTGGTCAACAAGAAGCACCCTCTTTTCCACACACACACCTCACGCAGGTGAACAGGTGATTATAATTCCTGAGTGCAGCCCATATCCATATGACCCATACACACTAACCAATTGCGATCCCACATTTTATAATATAAACCATTACTCATACAAAGGAAATATAAACTAGTGCAAACCTAATTCGTAATAAAACAAAATGTATCACTTTGTACGTTTAATGGCTCCTATGAGTCTTTATCTTTGAAAACCTCAACATTTGTACACACTGTGAATTTCACACAACGTGGTAAATTAAAAAAAGAATGAAACCTGAACATTATTGGCCATGACAGAGATTAAGACAAAGGGGTTGTATTTATTGTAAGAATACATTTCCATTGCTTCTTCCTTTTTACATTGCTTCGACACTTGGGATTCATGACCACTTTTATTATTTCAAAGATTGTTTGGGTGAGACTCTTGGGAGCTTGTTGAGAGCAGAAACTGTGGTCTCATCCTCAGTAACTTGTGATTCGGTTGCCCACGGGTTCCTTCCACACAGGATAGTGGAAACAGCGTATCCCCGAAACTGGAAACACACACATAGCAAAGGGTAAATAATAGTATGCATATATCCCTTTCCTTTGTGTGTGCAAATATGAATGTGCATGATGGAGGGTTAACCTGTCTGTTCATGAAAATGTATATCATAGGGTTGTAGACAGTGCTGCTCTTAGCCAAGTAAACTGGTATGGTAGCGATGATGGGGTTAATATATAAACTGGAGTCCATGATGACAGCGAGGGCCATGCCAGCATATGGCAGCCAGGTCACTAGGAAGGCCAACACCATCACCACTATCATACGTGCTACCTGCATCTCCACACGATGTGTGCTGCCAGCCTCACATATCTGCAGCTTGGTCACCTATGACACCCAAATACAAGCAAAACAACTTATTGTAATGTGGGTACAGGCAACCAGTAGTCATTTAGTGTACTCATATTCCCAACATTTAGATAGCTCACCTGCCGGAGGGTCCATAAAAGTTTTGAGTAAGATACTACGATGACCGTGAAGGGCACAGTAAAGCACAGCATAAAGTATAAGATGATGTAGGACATGTTCCCGATGTCCCGGCTGTACCAGTTAGGCGCACAGGAGGTTTTGACGCCCTCCAGCTCAAAACTACCCCAACCAAACAGAGGTGGAGTGTTCCACAAAAACGACCACAGCCAGGACAGCACCACTCCGGAAACAGCATGTCTGAGGAAAATAGATGTGGTGTCACATGCCGGAGGAGTGTTCAAAGTGTTGTAATCTGGGTGATGCTGCCAAGAGAAATATTGAATGTGATGTATACCTTGTCTGGAACAGGACAGCCCCCTGGGGATAGCACACCACTATGTAGCGTTCTACAGAGATTATCGCGATGGTACACAGACTTGATATACCTAAAAAAAGAAATGTGTGAAAACAAAATGACTTTTTCGTAGAACAGATTCCTGCTCAGCTTTACACCAATTAATGAATATGTACATTTAGAAGTAAGAACATTTATTTTAGTACTAAACTTTGGAGTGTTTACATTTGATGCCACTTAATACACTCAAAGGGTTATATAGTAATATGAAATGTTTATTATATTAGCATGACTGCTATATTTACTCATTACTTTTTTATACATTTTTAAATAAAACACATTAATTATACAATATATGACGATGAAATAAAAGATAAGGCAGAGTTTCCACACCTGCAAAAAATCATTGTTTGGTGGCTCTCATGTCACATGGTCTGTCTCTTAGTAACTTTGAGAGAAAATGATCAAATATTTCACACAGAAAGTAGAACATGTTTTACAAGAAAGTGTTCAATTATTTTAAAACAGAACTCTGTTTTCTCTGTTTGAATCCTTTATCATCTCCCAAAGCATCCAGATTTGTAGGGCTCTTTTAGAGGGGACAATTGGACTGAAATACCGAGGTGCTTATTAAGTTGTTAAAATAAGCTCAACCTCATCAGGCTACGAATGATGATATGTGTCAGCTATGACAATCTTATAATGTAATATGTAAAACATGTGTTGCCCCTGCAGAGCCTGTAACTTCTTTAACAATTGCACAATCTGTTGATACATCTTCTGTTCTTTTACTGAGGCTTTTTGTAAGTTGTAGGTTATGCTTTGTATCCGTATACAAAAGTAGGCATACTGCTTGGCTTTTGATTGACTCACCAAACATGGAGACAGCAAAGCCCTCTAAAACACAGCCTGCGCGTCCCAGGCTGAAGTATCCCATGGCACTGGTTACTGTGGTGGGCAGACCTCCAAATACAGCACAGCCCAGGTCACATATGGCCAGATTTACTAAGGCGTAGCTGAGTGGCTGCCTCAGCTGTCTGTGTCTCACAGTCACCACAATCACCAGGACGTTGAGGAAGATCCCACACACGGAAAACACACCCATGATAACGGCCAGTATTGTGTAGCCAGTCCGAGACAGGAGCTCCTCGTTGACTGAACTGTGAGAGTTTCCATCATGTAAGGAAATGTGCACCATCTTGATCAGTGACAATGAAGAGGACCACTGGTCCTTCTTGAGATAAAAACAAATCCAAATGAAGTCCAGAATATCCACAGGTTAAAAAATAGCAGTCTCACAAAGCTTAAACCAAAACTATATAACAATCCAACATAATTCCAACAGTATTACCAATTTATATGTTTCTTCAGCTGCAGCGGTGGCTGCTCTGGTGCAGCTGAAGAGAAGAGGAAGATGTGACACTTTTAATAAGCCCAATGAGAGGTGGTAGGCTTTACACCATCTAATTCTTTAAAAAACAAATCCGCAGATCCAGATTGAGATGACAATAATTCAATCTGATTTCCTATAAGACTGCACTTTCCATGATTGCTGGGTTTACAGCTGCTCCTGAGTAATGAAACAGGGATTCAGTGGCACAATGTCTGTTTTAGGATCAGAGTTAAATGCAAGCCTGCTTGTGAAATGCATAGAAAGAGCATTATGTTAATGTCGCACATTTTAGTGACAGCAGGATTTGCACATGCACTTATTTTGGGGTGATTAACATTTTTCAGACAAAATAACTAAATATTTAAACTATTTATTTTAAATCTACCAATGAATTAAGCCCCTTTTTAAAGAGGTCATGATGTCAGAGTAAGCTTTAGAAAAGAGTGTTACACCAGGAGTGTTTAAGATGGATTGCTTGGCTCAAGAACACTATAGCAGGGTATATAACCATCAATTCAGGCTCAGCTTCTCTATTCAACTCAATTACATCTAAAGGGGCTTTCTTGGCATTAAAGTTTCAAGAAAAATGTATCAAAAATATTTTCAACATGTGTAGGCCACCAGCATTATTCCCCTCCGACCGATTACTACTATGCTTGGTTAGGATGTATAGTTGTCGTCGTCCTAGTAGTTGAATCTAATCTAAAAAAAGAAATCTAATATAATCTAGTCTTTCACACACACATACGGGTTTTGGGCCGAGGGCGACACCGTACTTCCGGTATCCACCATTTCACGCAAGGTGCAAGCAGAATATCATAGTCTATTGCCTTAATCAATATCTAGTCAACTCTAAAATACCACATATATGCATTGGCATGATAATATTATTGTGACAAGTGGGGTATTCACCTGGTGTTTCCAGAAGATAGACGTAGATGCAGCCAAAATCGAACGAAGGCCACTTTCGAGTCGTTTTTCCATACATCTGCAGGCAGTCTGTAAGGGCAATCGGACAACCCACACAGCTCTAGTTTACGCTGGTAACGACCTAGAGCACACCCCTCAAGTCCAGAGATGTAATCCGAAGACATGCAGCGATTTCTTCGGTCGTTAATTCAGAAAAAAAACCGAGTGCGCTCTGCCTGGCTCATACTTGCCAACCCTCCCGATTTTCGCGGGAGACTCCCGATTTCATTGCCCTCTCCCGGTTTCCTCCCGGGGTCATATTTCTCCCGATTTCTGACAAAATCAGATTTACTCAGGACTGTTTCCACTCGGACTTTAATACAGCTACACCATTGTTTGGTTTCCATGGTAGCGCGTCTCTTTAGTAGCGTGCGCAACTGAAAGTCTGAGAGGGGGAGGCAGATAGTCACATAAAACAGAACAAGAATCGACAACACGACCCTCTGCTCACTCCTCTCCTGTAAAATACAGGTCCAGCCCACATATGCTCCATCAAGGATGGTGCTACAGGCTGCAAGACATTGCACTTACAACTACAATAAGCATGTTAATGTTAATCTAATACAGCTCCCCCCCCCCGCGGTGGTTTTGAAATGCTCCCGATTTCGGAATTCTCAAGGTTGGCAAGTATGCTAGCTGTTTATATTAGCACTTCCAGGATATTTGCACCTCCAGAAAAATGGCGTATTTATATATGGCACGCGTTGCATTGTGGGTAGCACGTGACGTCACTGTGTGTGAAAGAATTGGCCCAGTAGGCCCACCCATAACGCAGTGGCTGGGCTATTTGTCTTTATTGATTTAATGTGAACACAGCTTGTCCTTCATCCTGTATTTAACAGTTAGACAAGGTACATTTTTAAAACCAGGTTTATCCTTTTTTTGGTTCAGCCAAAGGAAGTCTTTTATTCTCTCTATGTGGTTTTATCGTGGGTTTTATTCAGTGGTGTAGTGGGGATTTTTTTACTGGGGGGACGCTATTTTAATTAGGTAATCCCAAACAATGCCACACAAGTGCGCACGCGCGAAGTGCACTCACAACACGGGCAGACAGGCCCAAATAAACTACCGGCATGCTTAGTCCTATAGTTGCTGTACGGCAAAAAGTAGACGGCGCTGCGCTCAACACACACACAGACTCAAAACCACACTGGCATATAAATTACATAAACAATGTATAGGCCTAAATTGCATAAACTACAGTATTGCAACTAAGCAGACGATGATCTGGACTTGAAATGATTCTGATTAGGCCTAGCCTACATTGCAAATAAGCAGACAACGCTGCTTTTCACACACACACACACACACACACACACACACACACACACACACACACACACACACACACACACACACACACACACACACACACACACACACACACACACACACACACACACACACACACACACACACACACACACACACACACACACACACACACACCTTGCGTTTTGAAGACTGATAAATCCGAATTGGATGAACAAATTTTGCAGCCCAGTTTCCCAGCTTTGCAGTCTCCACGGGTATTCCTCTTGTTTCCTCCGCCACATCTCCTCCGTCCATACCTCTGGGAAAGGTGAGCTTGAGCTAGCTAGCGGAACGTTGCTAGCGCAGCTAACGTTGACGTTAGTGCGAGCATTATCCACGTCTTTAGGCGGCTCTTCTGATGATGTAGTGCTAGTAGCAACTTCACTTGCTGCTAGCCTTTTTCTTCTTGTGAATTATATTCTTTTTAGAAAAGAAGTCAAGTAAAAAATGTTTGCCTGCCATTATAGAGCTTTTTCGTTAGCATTCTTGAGGGAAAGAGCTACCGCAAAATCGGCGGGCAGTGAGTGGGACACACCCCCAGCTCGCCGCGGGGTCATGAGCGTGATGATGAATCATAATTCTTTAAGGAAATCGTTTTTATTTTGTATTATAATTACTGTGAAATGTATTATGTTTTTGTCATTATTACAACAAATACACACTTGCAACTGATAACACTGGCAATGATTTTATATTTATTAGACTATTAAAAAAAAGATTGTGCTCCAAATAAGTGGGGGTACGGCGTACCCCCGCGTCCAACGCCCACTACACCACTGGTTTTATTCATAGGTCAGAAATGTGGATGTTAATTCTCCTCCCATTCACCAGAGGGCGATGAAGACTGAAGCCGAGCTCGAGCGCATTAAAGCTGCTGAGTTTGATCACTGGCGGTAAACAACTACAGTCAACATGGCGGCCTCCGTGAGGAGAGCAGCGCACGACATAGAAACACGAAAGCGGACCGATGATGTGCTTTTATCGGAGGGAATAGACTTCAGCTCCCTGCTGCTCTCTCAGCCCGTGTTGGAGGGACTGTCCTCCGCAGGCTTCCAGAAACCCTCCCCGATCCAGCTGAAGGCGATCCCGCTGGGCCGCTGCGGACTTGGTGGGTGCATTTAACTGCGTGGGCCGCCCCACATGTTTACTGTTTCATAGTTTATTTATGTCTGTTTGGATAGAGAAACACTTCAGCTGACTGGATCTGCCATCTAAAGATGGAGCGAGAGAGAGGAGCTGTGGATTATTGTTATTGATTAATGCATCATTGTTTCTTAGGGTCAAAAACACTAAACTCACAACTTCAAATGAAAGCGTTTAGTTTATTTATTTAATGAAAGAGCACATGTTCAATGTGAAAAATAACAGTAGATATAGATTAGTTGCAACTTGGTGAAAAAAGATATATACAATATATTTTATATATATATATATATACAGTGGGGCAAAAAAGTATTTAGTCAGCCACCAATTATGCAAGTTCTCCCACTTAAAAAAACGAGAGAGGCCTGTAATTTTCATCCTATGTATACCTCAACTATGAGAGACAGAATGAGAAGAAAAAAAATCCAGAAAATCACATTTTTAAAGAATTTATTTACAAATGATGGTGGAAAATAAGTATTTTGTCAATAACAAAAGTTCATCTCAATACTTTGTTATATACCGTTTGTTGGCAATGACAGAGGTCAAACGTTTTCTGTAAGTCTTCACAAGGTTTTCACACACTTGCTGGTATTTTGGCCCATTCCTCCATGCAGATCTTTTCTAGAGCAGTGATGTTTTGGGGCTGTCGCTGGGCAACACAGACTTTCAACTCCCTCCAAAGATTTTCTATGGGGATGAGATCTGGAGACTGGCTAGGCCACTCCAGGACCTTGAAATGCTTCTTACGAAGCCACTCCTTCGTTGCCCGGGCAGTGTGTTTGGGATCATTGTCATGCTGAAAGACCCAGCCACGTTTCATCTTCAATGCCCTTGCTGATGGAAGGAGGATGTCACTCAAAATCTCACGATACATGGCCCCATTCATTCTTTCCTTTACACCAGGGGTGGGGAACCTCCGGCCTCCGGGCCGTATACGGCCCACGAGACCATTTGGTACGGCCCTCGAGGTAATTTTATAAACACACATACAAAATCAAATAAATCTAGACCGCAGAATAATTAAACAAGCGAGTGCCTGTTTTTCCTGGCCAAGGTCAGGGTCCTTGAACACAACACGAGCCTAACATGTCATCGCGTGGTATATGTCTCGTCTGACACGTGCTGAAAGAGAGCACCAGAACGCCGCTCCGGGCCGGGACTTCACAAATTGCAGTACCGATAAGGAGCCTTCATGCCGCAGTTTCTGCATGGCTGTGTCTTAGTTGTAAGCCCAGTGGCGATCTGTTCATCTGTCATACCGATCATACAGTCAGTAGCTTTGTTGTTATTAGCATCTGGTTAGCTAGCTATGCTAACGAATATAAGAAGCTTTTTCTCCAACCAGTGAGGTAAAGGCACATCTTTATATGATCATTATAGTTATAAAACAATAAGAGAATAAAGTAAAAGAAGTTATTATTAAACAAGGATACATTTTGAAAGGATAGTGATTTGTAAAATATCCATAAAGAAAAAAATCTGCTTACAGTTCTGTTTCATCTGGGTGTTTAGAGATGTTTCCATAGATCTATTAATTTTACTCTCAAAGTGCACCAGATTGATGCTTTTAACTTCCTGGTGGTGCATGCCCCCGGACCCCCCTAGAGGAGGTTAGATTCCCCCCCCCCCCACTTAAATCATGTCCACATGGATATGAAACTAAATACATTTGCACACATCTTGTGTCCATATATTTCTGTTTTGGTGGTCATGCGCGGGTCATGGTCAAATATCTGGATTAAGAGGTTGCTTTTTCTTTGCACAGCATGAAAGAAAGGTGAAATCAATGGGCTGTGATTTTAGTTTTTTAAGCAGACGTTGAGTTCAATAGTTTGTACGGCCCTCGAAGGATGTTGTAAAAATTGAAATGGCCCTTGAGAGGAAAAAGGTTCCCCACCCCTGCTTTACACGGATCAGTCGTCCTGGTCCCTTTGCAGAAACACAGCCCCAAAGCATGATGTTTCCACCCCCATGTTTCACAGTAGGTATGGTGTTCTTTGGATGCAACTCAGCATTCTTTCTCCTCCAAACACGTCTAGTTGAGTTTTTACCAAAAAGTTCTATTTTGGTTTCATCTGACCATATGACATTCTCCCAATCCTCTTCTGGATCATCTGCTCTCTAGCAAACTTCAGACGGGCCTGGACATGTACTGGCTTAAGCAGGGGGACACGTCTGGCACTGCAGGATTTGAGTCCCTGGCGGCGTAGTGTGTTACTGATGGTAGCCTTTGTTACTTTGGTCCCAGCTCTCTGCAGGTCATTGACTAGGCCCCCCCGTGTGGTTCTGGGATTTTTGCTCACCGTTCTTGTGATCATTTTGACCCCACGGGGTGAGATCTTGCGTGGAGCCCCAGATCGAGGGAGATTATCAGTGGTCTTGTATGTCTTCCATTTTCTAATAATTGCTCCCACAGTTTTTCTTCACACCAAGCTGCGTACCTATTGCAGATTCAGTCTTCCCAGCCTGGTGCAGGTCTACAATTT